GTTTCTCCCAACACGCAGGTGCACGGAGCAAGGGACGGGTGTGGTGGGACTGAGGGTGGAGTGTGCAGTGCAGCTGAAGTCATGCATGTGATGACAGGCAACTAGGGGAGGATAAACCTTATTTTTCTTCAATATTTATTAAGGAAGAGAGTTAAAAAGGTATTAAAGAGTTTCACAATGCAGGCAGCAGCCCACATCCAGGCCACATCCAAGGGTGTGAGTGATCATTTCAGGCATCTAGATGGGGACATCATGTTCTTAGATATCGTGTTGAGATGAAATTATTCATATAATGCAGTATATTGTTGATGAACTTTGTTGAGGATTTTGAAGGAGGATTCTACAAAAGTAGTTGTTGACACTGGATAGCCATGTTTAGTGCAATAAAGTATCCTGTATCTTGCTCTCGTGCTGACCTGAGGCTTGTGCAGTAAATCTGCCAAAAGCCACATTGAAGATTTGCTTTTTGGTCTATATGGCAGTGGTTCAAAATGTCCAAGACAATGAAACTTAGGAATGACTGCAAATCCAATCCCTCTGATAGAAAGGACCGTCTATCCGTACTTCTGTGCTTGATGCATAACCTCAGTTCTCTTCAGACTGTTAGCACAAACCAAAATAAAGCACATAAAAGTACAGAAACTTTATTCTTCAGGAATCTTCCAAATGAGGACAGCTGGTAGGAAAATTCATTCTGTTGTGTCTCATCTTTGACTGGCTGCAGGAGATGGCAAGGACCCTGCAAAGAGAAGGGGAGACATTTTCCAAAAACAGCTTGTTAACTAACCTCAGAATGTTAACTGTAAGTTACTTCAGATGTAAAGAAAGCTGGAGCAAGGTCAGTAGTCTCCTTTCTTGTCTTTGGAGCCCACAAGGATGAGGTTCCTCACAAGGATGAGTTTCTTAAATGTTTACCTCCCTTAAAGATGGCAGGAAGAGGCATGCAGGATCTTTACTCCAGCTTCCACTTTTGATTTTGCTCCCATTTAATATTTTGAGTCTGATGAACAGAGGTAGTGACAGAAATGCTATCACTGTACACCGTCTGCCCACACTTCCAGTGTTAATTCTCAGTTCTTCACATAACCAAAGGAAGTTAGTAAAGTGCAGAGACCAACTTGGTCAGCTTGCTGTTATCCTCTTCACAGGATCAGTTATACAACCTCTCTTTCCTCTCTTCTTCCCAGTAACTTCAAAACTGATTTCAGTTGAATTTGGTGGACAGATGTCAGTCTTAAAGATGGGGAGTTCCTTCTGTCTGTTTTTCTGTCTCTAAAAATCAGTAATCCAAATCATTTGGGGTAAGAGAGAAATCTAAATGGTACCTCTTGGGCATTAATACTTGTCTTCCGTTCCAGTAATCTGTGGTTTCACAACATGATGGGTCTCACCTTTTGTGCAGCCAGGCAGTCAGGGAAATGTGGTAGAGTGGGTAGTTACAGAGACTGCCTCGTCTCGTGTTGGTATGAAAGTGATTCACTGCTGGGGAGATTTTTACCCTGCCTCTGTCAGCCACTCTGATGCATCACAAGTAAATAAGTTGGCACTGAGATGGATTATATTCTGTTGTTTTGGAGACTTGGCTAAGACTGGTTTCCTAGGTATTGTGGAGAACGTATGCTTCAGCACCTGATACTTACAGAAATCTGATATTAGGATACTTGTTTTAGATGCTCTGTATTTATAGCTTTTGTTCATTATTTAAGCCTAGATTGGGAAAGGTATTTAGGCACTTTTATCCTGTCACTTTCCCCTGACAGCTCTCATTGGGGTCTCAGGAGCAGACTGCTTTAATGTGGGCAATTTTAAGAGATTTTATATTTGTTTCTAGGTTGATTTTCTTTCCCTGTCTGGCATGAGCTGCCAAAGCTCACAAGCATTGGCACCACAGCTAAAAGAGCTGCCACAGGTATCAGCAACACTGCCAGAGCTTTGCGTGTCAGCTTCTTAGTCCCTCACCTGTGGGCAATGCAAACCCTTGAAGTATTATTTTTGCTGATGGCTGCAGCTCTGGGGAATCTTTTTGCTGATATATAGGATTTTTAGGGGATATTATTATGTTATTTAAATAGAACTGCCATTGACATGAAAAGCTTCAGTACGAAACCAGGGTGACTTCATTGGGTTGCCAAAAGTAGACACTCTGATAATGCCTGCCTGTGAAAGCCAATGAGGAATATGCACAGGTAGCAGCGTGCTAACACTGTAAATCTTTGTACTTCCTGCCAGAAAAGAGAAGTAGGAACATCTAGATCCCACCTTTCCCTCTTAAGAGGACGGCACCTGTTTGTGTTCAGTTCAGGTTCATCTATGAATGAATATATTAATCACCAATGGCAGATGCCCAGCCACTTATAGCTCTTTTTGCTACATTTGCATATACAATCGGTCATTAGCAAAGATTTCTGTCATCTTTGCCTCTGCCTCTGCTCTGTATGGTCACCTCGATCCCAAAACCCAACAACCTGTGGCCAGCAGCAAGGAGGAGCTGCCAGGCTGCCTGCTCTGAGTGTTCTCTACAATCTGTAACCTACAGGGTCCTCTCGACATCTCTGCATCTGAAGGGTTGCAGTGGGCATGGGAGGGCCTTCACCATCCTTGGCTGCACTTGTATCCTAAAGATTCACAAGCAGGATTTTTGGATGCAGCTCAGTGACTTTTAAAAGCATCTGTTCTTGTTGGATATGTTGCCAGTTGTATATGTGCTTCCACAACATTTAGGTCCTTTAAAAGCTGTGCTCTCCAATATAAAGCAGTCTATAAGCAAATATCTTGAGACCACTTCTCACCACAATTAGCAGTAATTAACAAGAACACATGGTCACTGCATTGCAGAAGCAGCTAGAAATTGCATTGCCCAGAGGAGGAATCTGCAGGATCAACACAATTCATCCTTTTTTTGTGCATGAAACTGTTGGGATGTCTTCAAGTCCTAATCAGTCATCCCTTCCTCTCCTTGCTGTGACACCCAAGATTCAGTATACCACCTTCTCTTTTCCCTGCTCACTCACCCCTGTACCTGCACTAGCACAAGTCTGGGCTGTGAGCACACCAAGACTTGAGTGGCTGTGTCACAGCTCTTCCTTGCCATGATGTGGCGTCCCTACAGACAGCTCCCATGCCCCCGGGAGGAAGTGGCACTCAAGCAAGAAGGAAGGAGGTGTGCAGGCTCATTATTACAGCTCACCAGAAGAAGAGGCAGGTGGGTTTGTGGTAAGACGCAGGCAAGTTTCATTTTCCACTTCCTTTCTGGTTTGCGTGTTTGTTTGCATGCAGGCTCATTATTACAGCTCCAGAAGAAGAGGCAGGTGGGTTTGTGGTAAGACGCAGCTTCCACTTCCTTTGTGGTTTGCTTGTTTGTTTGCGAAGAGAATGTGGAATGTTTCTGCATGACTCAAAACTGGAGCCCCCAGTACAGATAAACAGCACTCAGACTTTCATCTGATTCTGTCCTGGGCCAGCCTGGCCCATGAGCTTTCCTGGGGGGTCAGGAGGTGGGAACTAGAGGCTTCCTTTTTGAAAAGATGTTAGAAAAGACACAGTGTGGATCAGTCCTAGCTCTTCTACAAACAAAAATCAGCTGGTCTTACAACCACAGAATCATTTGGGTCTGAAGGGATCTTTAAAGATTATCCAGCTGAAGCTCCCTTCCACAAGCAGGAACATTTTTCACCAGACCAGGTTTCTCAAAACCCCACCCACGCTGGCCTTGGACATTTGAGAGATGGGGTATCCACAATTTCTCTGGGCAATCTGTTCCAGTGCTTCACCATCCTCATGAAGAAGTTCTTCCTTGTATTTAATCTAGATCTACCTTCTTGTTTAAATTCATTGCCCTTTGTTCCATCACTACAGGCCTAGGTAAAATGTCTCTCTCCCTCTTGGTTATAAAATCCCCTTTAAGTACAGAAAGGCTGCATTAAGATCTCCCTAGAACCTTCCTCATGGATGAACAGACATGACTCTCTCAGCCTTTCTCCACAAAAGTGTTCCAGCCTTCTGATCAACTTTTAGCCCTCCTGTGGACCCTCTCCAAGAGGTCTGTGTTTTGTGCTAGGGGCTGCAGAGCTGAATGTTGTACTCCAGGTGGGGTTTCACAGGAGCAGAGTGGGACAATCCCCTCTCCTGACCTGCTGGTCACACTTCTGAAATACTTCTGATGCATATGGTTGGCATTATGGGCTGCAGGTGCACCTGGGTCATATCCAATTGTTCATCCACCAGTATTCCCAAATCCCTTTCCTCCAGGCTGCTCTGGATCCATTCATCCCCAGCCTGTACTGATATTGAGGACTGCCCCAAGCCAGGTGTAGGATCTTGCACTTCGCCCTGTTGAATTTAGTGAGGTTTACGTGGCCCCACTTCTCCTCTGTATGGCATCCCTGCCCCTGCTGAATCCAGGGCACCACTCAGCCTGGTGTCCTCTGAGGAATTCCTGAGCGTGACTCAGTCTCACTCTCTGTGTCATTATTAAAGATACTGAGCAGTACTGGTCCCAGTGCAGGATCCTGAGGGACACCACTTGTTGACAATCCCCATTGGGATGCTGAGCCATTGACTGTATTTGGATCCCATCCAGCCACTTCTTTATCCATCAAATACTCCATCAATCAAATCCACCTCTCTCCAAATTAGAGGTAAGACTGTTGTGTGGGACCATGCCAAAGTCAATACAGAAATCCAGGTAGTTGACAGGTAGCTTACTTTCCCTTAGGCTGGAGTGGGTTCAGCCTGCCCTGCATTTCCCAAGGATATCAGAGGTCACACCTGCATTTCAGTTTGTGCCTGGTGGGAACCCCCTTGCCTGGAGGCTCTCTGCAGGCAGAGGTCCAGCCCCACTGGCTCTGGACTCTTTCCTGCAAGTGAGACACGATCCAGCCCATGGCAGGGAAGGAGTTAAGTGCTTGACCAGCTGCTGTCTGTGAGGCACTGAATTCCTTCCCCGTGCAATCCAGCAGCCAGTGTCAGGACAGCTATATTTAGAAAGCTGATAAAGGTTTGGTGCCAACAGTTGTCCTGCCCCTCGATGAAGAAGCAGTAGAGAGACTGAGAAGGGGGCAGCTGGTTGCTTTCCCCCCCAGTACCGCTCCTTGCTGTCTTCAGTGGACTCCTTTGCCGTGCTGCCAGCAGGGACCCCCAGTGGAGCCATCAGGCACAGGGGTAAGTTCCCTTTCCTTGCTCACCCTTCTCCCTGCTCGCTGCCCTGTGAGTGACCACGCGGCCGCCATCCTCCGGCCTGAGCCCGTGGGAGCTGCCGCCACTCCTGTGGCACTGAGGCAAGAGTCCCTCTGCCTGGGCCAAGTGTTGACTGTGGTGTTCCTAACTGAGCTGTGGTGCCGTCACCCAGTGTAAGAACAGCAGCCTCCACACAAAGGATTACAAGGACAAAGTCCCAAGCCTCCAAGCTCCTTTGGCCTTAAGCGTTAGGAGCATTTCATTTTGGGGACACGAGGTCTCATGTTTCTTGCCCCTGACCCTCCTTCCAGCCCGGCTCTGGCTGTGTACAGCTCCTTCCAGCCACCACACGCAGTCAGGCGAGTATAGAGTTTCTGCCCTGCCACCCCTTCCTTCCTGGCCTTCCAGCACCCTTACTCATAGGCAAAAGAGCATTGGCGCTCGCTGGGCAGCAGCCAGGGAGCTGCATGAGGCCCTGGGAATGGCAGGAGCCCTGGAAGAGGAGCCAGTGCAGCCCTTGTGGGAAGGGTTCCTCACAGGAGCCAAGTGTGGGAGCCCTTCTGCTGCACCCCCCTGCCCCTTGTGCCCCTGAGCCAGGGAACGGCCTCCTGTGCAGCCCTGTGTAATGGCTCTCCCTGCTGCCCTGCTCCTTGTAGGGGTCCCCAGCAGCCGTCATGGCCAGCGGCAGAGATTCGGACAGCGAGCCGGCGGTGCCCGAGGAGGAGGAGGCGGAGGGCCCGGACGTGAGGGCCGTGCAGGCCCACTACCTGCGCAGCCCCTCGCCCAGCCGGTGAGTCCACAGGCACTGCCTGGCCAGCACGTGGCAGCTGCTGCCCTCCGCCCTCTCCTGCTTCCCTTCCTTCCTCTCCTCCACCCTGGCGCTTGGGCCAAGCTGAGCCCGGGGATTCCCTGCCCTCCCTGAGGTGGGGTCAGTGTGCCAGCTCAGACAGAGCCTGCAGAGACAGCCTGCACTAATTAATCCACCCTGCTGGGAGAGTGCACAGCAGGGATAAACTGCAGGAAGGATTACTGTGGGCTGGTGGTGTCCCTCTTCCCTGTCTCACCCTCTCATACCCCTATGCTGAAACTTCTGATCCAATTTCAACTCTTCGCAAATTCAGCTTCATCTTTATGTCCATTATAAGGACTTGTGGATTTACTGAATGCTGATATTAGGCTTTGCCAGCTGCAGAAAGACCAAGGGTCTTGGGATTTGGGTCTGATTCAGAACCAACTTTAGCTACAGGCTTCAGGCACTGAACAGGAGGCTGTCACAGCACAAGCAGAAATTGAGTTACCTCAAGCAAAACAAGCATGATTGGATGTGTTTTCTCCCAATACAAGGAAAAATACACCCCTTTGTTCTCTTTTCCTATAGCAAAATGCTCTGCAGGGCTTTCTGTAACCTTTGAGATGCTTTAGCTGAAAGCAAGGAGTAGGTATAGAGTTTGATAAGAACCTTCCCCAGTGTCCCTCAACAAGTAGGAGGTTATGAAATGTTTCCTGCTAACTGTGGGACACTGCAGAAAAATTGAGTACTTATTTCATTTAACCACATGTATTTCAAAATTGTTTAGGAAGATCACTGAGCTCACATAAAGTAAAATTATGTATTGTAAAATTATGTATTGAGCTCTCTCCTACTGCTCGTCAGTCACTCAAAATGAACAGAAACATCTCTCCAGTTTATTCCCTTCCCTTCCCTTCCCTTCCCTTCCCTTCCCTTCCCTTCCCTTCCCGTTCCTTTTTTTTCTCCCTTTTTTCTTGCTGTCAGTCGCAAAATAGAGTGATGAAAATGGCAAGCTCCTTCCCAGCCAGAAGGGGGTCCTTGAAAGACCCAGGCTTGGGCAGATCTGTGTTTCACAGATGCCCAGGGCAGCTGCAGGTAAAATGTGTTGAGCCTGTGGTGGCAGATTATTGCCAACTGTTACCTTTTTATTGAGCTTGGAGGCAACCTTTACAGCAAAAGGAATCGAAGGCAGGGCATAGCTGCAAATTTGTGTCAGCTCCTGTAAATGAGACTGAGACTCCCCTTGCTCATCTCGTAAACTCCTTTGAAGAACTAGAAAAGGATTACTTTCAGTCACGGTTGACAAGTGCTGGAACTCAACTAAATGACCTGGATGAGCCTGTTAAGTGTTTTCCGATGGCTGTGCCCTCTGTTTGGATTCTGGAGCCTGAAAGCAGTTCAGCTCTCCAGACACTGCTGCACCCTGACTGAATATTAATCACCCTCCCTCTCCTGCTTTAATTAAACAAAAACAAACAGTGTATTGCAAGTCTGCAAGCCTTGCATTGCCAGAGAGCTTCTGTGATGGCAGCAAACTTGTCTAGTGATTTGTACCATCTATTTGGAAGGAAGTGTAGAGGGTGTATATCAGGGGAAAAGCTCTGTAAAATATTTTGTTAAGGTGGTCTAACTGAGAGACTGAATTTTCTTGGACTGTATAGGTGGACTCAGAAGGAAATATACTTGTTTTTAAGGTTGTGGCCTTTTTTGCTTAACAAAAACTTATTACACTATGTGAAATAACTCACTTCAAAGGTGTTTGTGGGTGTCATAGTGGTTTCTGACCCACAGTTACACAACACTGAGTGAGTGGAGAGACTGACCACAGATTCATGCTCTGAAGTGCCCAAGGTACAAAGTACTGAGGGAGAGATTCATGGGCTTCAGTCTCAGTGTTTGCACTGCAGCTTGTGGTAACTCAAAGGATGCTTGCAGGCAATTAACTGGCAGGAAGAAAACCCAACAGTTATTTAGCACTACCTGTTTTGAATTACTCAATAAATTCTAGTTAGGACCATGTTTATGTTTGTCTGTCTAACTGGGAGTTACTTGTGAGACTATTTTGTGTGATCCATCCCCCTTCCAGCCTCAAACCAGACACTGATCTTCTCTATCCATAAACTCCTCCACCAGGCAATTTGATTGCACTCCCAGCCCACTGCAGCTTCTCCCCATGGGACCTGCCTGCATCCTGCAAACACTGGATGCCAAGGCATCTTTGAAGCCTGCAGTGCCATGCTAGAGATCGGGGTGGGAATGAGATGTGGGAGAAGATCCGGGACTTCCCTTCTACAGCCAAAGAATCCTCCCTGCTCCAGTTCCCCACTGTACCCCTTTGGAATGGGTGAAGAGGGCTAAAGTCCTGGGGATGGGATCCCAGTGGAGGGCATTTGCCTAACTGGCAGTGTGGTTGGTTGGCAGGTATTCAGTGATATCAGACACTGATACAGAGAGCATCCTCATGGAGCCAATCCATCTGTCATCTGCTGTGGCTGCCAAACAAATCATCAGTGAAGGTAAGAGACTATGTAAGTTACAGAGACCTGAAATTGCACTTGTTTTGCCTTTCTCATCTACAGATCATAAATCATAAAAAAGCCCTTATGAGAAAGCTCCATCTGAAGTAGAGAAAGAAAGAACAACTTACAGAAAGGTTTGGTGACTTCCTTTGAGGCTGGGCGATGAATCTGGCAGAATTGTGTACTGCAGGGGCAAAACTTTGAGTGCTGGTTGCTTGCTGCAACAAACTAAATTAGAGTAGAATGAAATAGAACAGAACAAAATGGAGTATTTCAGTTTAAAGGACATACGTGATCATCTAAGTCCAACTATCAGGGCTGACCAAAAGTTAAATCATATTATTAAGGCACTGTCCAACATCTCTTAAACACTGTTAAGGATGGGGCATTAACCATATCCCTCGGAAGCCTGTTCCAGTGTTTGACCACCCTCTCAGAGAAAAAGTGGTTCTCTATGTCCAGTCTGAATTTCCCCAGCTCAGCTTTGAACCATTCCCACATGTCTGATCACTGGATACCAGGGAGAGGAGCCCAGCAGCTCCCTCTCCACTTCCCCTCTTCTGGGCCTGGAATAAGGGTGCCCTTAACTCCCAGGCCTTTGGCCAGTGTGGGGCTGAGTGCAATGTGTCCTTCTCATTGCTGATTACCCCGAGGCAGTTCCTAGGTGAACACGTTCCTGCCCACACTGCAGACAGAACAGGGGGGTATTTCTGGGGAACAAAAGCCACAAGGCTTGTCCCAGGCACTGGTAATGATAGCTCATACATTTGCATTGTTTTTGTGTGCTTTTAGTTACAATGTCAGTTTATTCCAGAGCTGAAGACAAAGGACGTCAGGGTGGACTCGGTGTGTCCCAGGATGTTGGAGTCGGCGCAGCAGCTGATGGTGGAAGACCTGTACAACCGAGTTAAGGAAAAGATTGATGACACCAGCTTGTTTAACACGCCGTGTGTGATGGACTTGCAGAGGGCACTTGTGAAGGACAGGCTGGAGACCCCCAGGGACGCTGTGGATGAAGTCTGGCCTAATGTCTTCATAGCAGAAAAGTGAGTGTCGGCTTCTGTCATCAAGTTGCACAAGATTCCCAGTAAAGGGTCAAATGGAACCATTGAAGGCATAACATGTATTACATGCATCTAATACCTTTCATCCCTAGAGAGCCCTAAAGTGTTTTTCAGACTGTGCTCACAGAAATCTCTATGCACTGGAAAGTAAATACTTCTGGAATAGAATCAGCAGCTTTCCTATGCTGTTTAGATGCTTCAACAGTTTAAGAGAGGCAAAGACAAATAAGCCCAAATCCCACTGTTCTGATTGGAATTTGGCCCTAAAATTGGAACTAAAGTCTTTGGTATGTAAAAGGGAGTTTAAAAGGTAATGCCAAAGCAAATGTCAAGTAAACATGACTAGGTCTCCTGTACCATGGTTCAGCTGTCTGAGGTACCTGCGTATGTGACTAGACAGAATTAGAAGGGGATATAGGGTAAAGCATGGATTATGGAGTGATAAAAATGGATAAATAAGTACATGGCCTGAACCTAGGATGGCAGTATGAGTTTCAAACCAAGCTGGAGTGGAAACAGAGTGTATGCCCCTACAGTTGAATGCAGGCTTCTTGTTTTCTTTTCTTGACTATTGGAAAGAGATACCTGTAGAACTCTCAAAGGACATTAAGGTCTGAGTGGTGCCTTGTGCTGAATGAGTTACATGGACTGGGAGTTATGTAGGCCTTGTAGCATGCAGCTGTTTTCCCACCTAAAACAGGAGCACTGATATCTAACATGTTTTTTCCTTTTCTGCAGAAGCGTTGCAGTGAACAAAAGCCGTTTGAAGAGACTGGGGATCACCCATGTCCTGAATGCAGCTCATGGCACAGGTGTCTATACAGGGCCCAGTTTCTACAATGGTCTGAATATCCAGTACCTGGGCATTGAAGTGGATGATTTTCCAGATACAGATATCTCCAAACACTTCCGCCCAGCTGCAGAGTTCCTTGACGAAGCCCTGCTGACTTACAGAGGTAAGAGGAGAAGATTGAAGTGGTTCCAGGTTGCTTGGGAATTAGCAGGGAGAAACCTTACTCTGATAAACTGATATGCCACATTTGTCATGGGGTAAAAGGCAGAGCCTTTGCCCTCTGCATGACAGTGAACACCTCCTGCCCGTTTCTGCCCAGTCTCATTCAAAACAGGAGGGAGCAAACTGGTAAGGGGAGGCAGCCCAGCAGCCCCATGGCTTCAGGTTCAAAGTGGCTGCAAGTCAGCTCCTGCAGCTGATTTGAAAGAACCTGACTATAGCAAAGAGTAGAACCCCTGCTCTAATACATTTTTTAAAAATATTGATACTCTATAATACTATATATATAGAGAGATAGATATATTCCTGTACCCTGCACGGTTCAGTTTCACCATGATGCAAAAAAATTTACTAAAACAATCCAAGTGGCTGAGTTGAGCCTTTGGGTGTCTACACCCAGGCTGCTGTCAGGTTTGCTGGACTTCAATTCCATGGCAACTGTTATTCTGTGGACCTCCAGTGCACACTGGTCATTTTGTTGCAAATTCAGTGGACAGTTAGAAATATCTTTTTGCAGTTCAGTATTGAAAGAAGCACCAGGGTCTGTGATATCACTGACATTCTTCATAGAAGTTGTCAATTAATCTAATTTCTGTAGAGAGGCAACAGATTACCTCCTAGCAGTAGTGACAGAAGAAAAGGGTAAAGTTTTGTTAGTATGCAAGGAACGTTGAGCCAGTTTTAATAGCTCAACAACACAAGGAGGATCCACCAAGGCTGACAAGCCTTGGAAGAAATGAAAGGAAGGAGATTTCCCCCTCTTGGTGAGCTGTTAAATTGGCTTAGCTGGCTGGTAAAACACTTGGAAGGCAACCAACACTTTTGATGCTAAGGTATTAAAGAGATTTCAGGATTGTAGGGAGAGGTTCATTAGGTAAACCTCTTGTGGTAACATATCAGCAGTTAGAAAGATGATGCTTAAATTGGCTTCATTAAGTTTCAGTACAAACAGATTGATTAAACTGGAGTTTATCACACATTTAGAAACAGTAATTTCAGTTGTTTGCCAGCTAGCAAAGCCTCATTTACACTCTCTTAGTATTTACAAGCTTTTCTTTAGCTGTAATTTGCCATACAAGTAACTTAAACCCCAAACAATTTGTCTGTGCCAAAGCTTGGTTTTCTGCAAGAGGTAGTAAATGCTATAAAATAAAGCAGATCCTCAGTTTTGATTCTTGCTTATACAGTTACTGGTGCAGGACAGTGGGTCCCAGTAGTTTGAAGCATCTAGATCAGTTTGTCAGAGTCAAAATCAGCTCTTTTCTGGTAGTTCCTTGGTTCTGCTCTTGTAAGATATAACAGGACTTTGGCCTCCAGTCAGTCTTCAATGCAGTTGTTTGAGGGTACCTTCAAAACCAATCTAGATTCTAGCAAAAATACAATTAAATTAATATATAATTGTTATTTAAGTCCTAGAATGTCCCTTATAGAAAAAATATGTTACTTGCTTATCCTCCCAATACCTTCCTGGAGGTTAATGCTAATATCTCACTTTTTACATATTGAGAAAAAGGCATGGAAAGCTTAAATGTCTGACCCTATGTCAGCCAGCAAGTAAAGAATATCTCACTTGCCTTTCTAATACCTATTATAAGCTTTTTTACGATTTGAGTAAGTGAAGCGTGTAGGCGAAAATACAAACACTATTTAGATTGTTTGGAAATGTGCCTGCCCACAGTTTTTGAGACTAATGTGCTTTTTATTTGTATGTATCCAGATTTTTATTTATGTAAAGCTAGTGAATATTTAGTGTTGGTTTCAGTCTCTGAAGCATATAATGGGTGCAGTCTTTAACACTATGCAGAGAATGCTTTTGAGCTGCCTACCAGAGCATCCTGTCTGTTCTTGGAAATGGCTGATGCCTTTCATGTTCACTGTCTGTAGGCAGAATCCTTGTCAGCAGTGAGATGGGGATCAGCCGCTCCGCTGTGCTGGTGGCTGCCTACCTGATGATCTACCACCACATGACCATTCTGGAGGCTCTGATGACGCTGAGGAAGAAACGCGCCATCTACCCCAACGACGGCTTCCTGAAGCAGCTGCGGGAGCTCAATGAGCAGCTCTTGGAGGAGCGAGAGCTGGAGCGAGCTGGAGATGAGGACGTGACTCCAAGCCAAAGCCCTCTGGCCTATGCAGGGACTTCTTCACGGCTGTCTGGAGCTGGGGACTCAGGGAGCATCAAGGGAGCCAAAGCTCACTCCATCACAGTAGAAGAAGAGGACACCAGCAGCATTCTGGGTAGTTTTATGAGCTCTTCATCCGTGGAAAAAACTAGCTGGGTTTCCAAACACTCCACCCTGATCACTGAGGAGGAAGAGGAACAATTGTATGAGGAATGGAGGAGGAAACAAGGCCTATCTACAAAGGAAGCAGGAGTTCACCATGAAAGAACATCTCCAAAGCATCTGGATCAGGAAGAGGAACAATCTGATGAGGATGTGGAACGGAGGATCCATGACTGGCAGCGCAGAAATGAGAAATACCAGATGTCAGGTACAGCCAGGGAGGAGGATGGTGAATGCAGCATGGGAGGAAGACCCTACCCATCAGGTGAATTTAGTGATGTTGAGAGTGTGAGCAGTTTTGAGATCCGAACCCTAAAAAAGCAGCTGGAAGCCAGTAGCTTTAGCAGGATGAGGAGGAGTCGCACAGACTCTACATCTTCTGAGAGCACCTGGGACATGTGGAATCAGAGGCTTCTGGAGATTGAGAAAGAAGCTGCTCAGAGGTATCATTCTAGGAATAAAACCTGTGGGGAGAGACAATCCCCAGAAACGGGAAGAAAGGAGAGGGATGTGGATGAGGAGAGTGTGTTTTCAGACTCCTCCTGTAGCTCCTTCTACAATTTCTGCCAAAAGAACAAGGACAAGTTGACTCCTCTAGAAAGGTGGAAGGTCAAGAGGATCCAGTTTGGCTTTCACAAGAAGGATTTAGAACCATCATCTGCACCATCTCCAACAGAGGATGGCAGCCAGGCAGGTCAGGAGGAAACAGAAGGGAAGAGTTTGTCAGATATTGATCTGACTGCTTACCAGGCTTGGAAAATGAAGCGGCAGAAGAAGGTGGGCAGTGAAAGCAGCAAGGAGGAATTTGTGGAATTTGCCAAAACTGAGGATTCTGCTTCAGCTAAAAAGAAGCAGAGGCGTATAGAGCTCCTTGAACGTTCAAAGAAAATTTTAGAAGAAAGCCAGTCCATGTGCAGCTGGGAGACAGAGAGTACAATGAGTGGGAGTATTCCCCTCTCAGCTTTCTGGTCTTCAGCGCCTTCTGCAAACGGTGCTGACGATGCAGCTTCTGCCCTGAGCATGCAGACAAATCATTCATCTTTGTCACAGGCCAGGAGTTGTGCTGGAGCAATGCAGATGCCAAATATACCCCTTCCCAATCTCACAGTTGGCCCAGGTGACACGATATCCATGGCAAGCATTCAGAACTGGATCGCTAACGTGGTCAGTGAAACCATTGCTCAAAAGCAAAATGAGATCCTGATGCTGTCCCGGCCATCGTCCGCCATGGCCTCCCTGTCAGGAGACCTTGGCAGGCGTGCCGATGATGACAAGGTTTCTCTTCTCAGTGCTCAGAGTGGCTCATCCCTCGCTGCCTCCCAGCTCCACCAGCAGGACCTGCGCAGGGCTGAGTCTCAGTCTGTGCTGTCTTGCAACACCTCCGTGAGCGCAAGGACAGAAGGGACTACTTCAAACTTGAAGACCCAGACAAGCAAACCACTGTACAGCCTCTTTGCTGATGATGTTGACCTAAAGAAGCTAAGGAGGAAGGAGAAGGAGATGCAAATGGAAATGAGAGAAAAAATGTCAGACTATCAAATTGAAAAGGTGATTAGAGACAATAAACGCAGCACTTTATTCAAAAAAAAGGTGACCAAAGCAGAGGAAAATGAAACAGAAGATGACAGAGAGAGTACAACAAACAGCCACAGGCGTCCCTTGCAAGCAGATTTTGACAGAACTGATGCAGTCTTTGATCTGTCCAGTCAACCTGGAACTTCAGGTGCACCAAAATCAGAGGTAGATACTGATATTACCAAGTGGCTGAACGGCCTCAAAGCAGAAAGAGAACCACCGTCATATTATGATCAGACTGAGAACGCTAGAGAGAAATATAGCAGATCATCCAGAGTTAGACAGATGGATTCTGAGACATCCAGTTACAGATTCTGCAGATCCCAAAGAAAAGAGCTAGATAGCTGTTCTTCCTACGAGTCAACAGGAGATTCACTGAGAACCATGTCAAGATTTTCCTCTGCTTCTGCAAAAGAGGACAAAAAGATGTACAAGTTCACAAGGTCCAGGGTCAGTGAGACAAGTTCCAGAGGAAACAGCCCAGAGCTGCATGTTTTCAACCTGTCACCTGAACCACCCTTTGACTCTGAATCCCCTGAACCATCTACACAGAGCCGAGTTAGAGCTCATCATGTGGAGGCATGTGAAGAGGAGGCCAGGTCAGACGTGTCAGAATGTGGAGCAAAGAGAAAGTTCACCCAGAGCTTTTCAAAGTCTGAAGAGGATGGGAAGAAAGAGGCAAAAGTGGAGCAAAGTGAAGAAAGGTTTGCATCTAGGCAGGTCTCTCAGTACAGGCGAAGCACACGTAAAGAAGAGGAAGAGGAGATGGATGATGATGCCATTATTGCTGCTTGGAGAAGCCGACTAGAAGAAACTACAGCAAAGCTCCAGCGGAGAAGGGAAGAGTGACCAAGATCAGACTACAGGAACACAAGCAGAGCCACACAGTCCCTGAATCACTCATCATTATACTTTTGATAATCCTTTGTGGTTTGTAGGGCATTTCCTGCAGCTAGTTCTCTTCTTAATCAAAAGCAATGAAGGGAAGAGGTCAAGTTCTGCAAGTGTTTGTGGTTTGTCAGAAAGAAGATGCTGGTATTAAATGATCAATGTAGGTAGGAACACAATGTTAGAAGCCATTAGGAGCCAGACGATGTTTCAGCAGCAAAAGCAGGTAACGGTGACACCTCAAGTCAAAAGACCAATCACATCCCATTTTGGTTATTTCAATTTCCTAGTGTCGTTAAAGACTGGACATGTTTTTTCTAGGATCTTTTTGATCATAAATGGAAGAAGCCAACAGCCTTTTCTAGGAACTTAAAGACTGTTTTTCTCTTAATCAGTTTTACTTTATACAACTGAGAAGATATTACCAGGTAGGCTCCATTTTCTGCACCAGCCTTACAAATGTCTAGAGAAATAAGACAGTTCAGGGGAATACGTGTTCTGTTTTACTTTACTAAGTAGCAGAAGCAAAATGGAATGCTAGAAAAAAGAAGATGCCTCCTGTTTAAAAGTTCAGTGCAGTAATGAATGTATTCATTGTTTTCTATTAGATGGAGTCATCTCTGCTCCAGTATGGTTGGTTCCTCCAAATAACTTAAGGTCAACAAAGGAAAAATGCAGTAATATTAACAGCCATCCAAAAATAATTTTTGATGTAGTTAAAGAGATAGAGTTAGGATTAGTGTTAGTGTAGGCTGGGTTTCTGAGTATTGACTTCACTTTGGCTAATGTATGCAGCTCAGCTAAGTTGGTGCTTTTGTGTTTATAGCCATTAATTTTCAACATGATTACCTTGAAAGAAAGGAGCAATACACAAACTGACCTCATAATAAAATTATTTAATTAGACCATAGGTGTAAGGTATCGTGCACCTAAGGAGAAATTGTGTCTGTGAAGGTGGCACCTGGAAGCTTGTTTTTAGGAGGCAGTGGTAGGTTCAAATGGCATCTTACAGCTAAAGTGTTCTTTGTATCCTGAGCTACACAGGAAGAAGCCCAGCCTCCATGGTAACTGAGTACTCCAGGTTAAGAGCCTTGGGTCTTTCCATGCCCTGCAGAGCCTTGTGAGCTTGTGTGACACAACCCACCAGCTTGCCACAGCATCACTTGTGTGTCTTTGCACACCACAGCACCCAACCCTCACCTGTCAACATCCTCCACCTCTCTCTTACAAGCACATAGGGCAGTTTCTACTGACTTTGACTCTGGAATTATCAGTCCCCTCTTCTGTACAGACTGTATTTTGAACCAACAAAGCCCTCTGGCAGAGCTGAATCTAAAACAACAATGGAGGGATGATGCAGTAGTGCTCTCTCACAGGAAGTTTGTCTTTTTCTTGTAATCTCTTCTCCCTCCCACTGTGATGCTTAGAGCTCACCATTACCATTATGCTAGTACCTCTCCCTATTTTAATTGTGTAATACAGACAGCAAGCTCCACAGGGCAAGGGCCTGCTCTTTGTCCCTGTCTGTATGGAGCTACACACATCAGCAATGCTATCTAAATAATGGTTACTGATAACAAAATGCAGCTGGCAATTTTCCTAAACTTAGAATCATTTCTCTCAACTATAACTCACTGATCAGACATTATCCCTGCTTTTCTGAAGATAAAGATGATTTTTTCTGACAGCCAGGACTGGGGTAAATGATAGCTACTTATTGTCAGGTGAATGGAATCTCACAATCAGGTGATTAACCAGTAACAAAGGTAGAAAAAATAAGAGAAATCACTTACTTGTGTGAGTTGTTTCGGGGTTTAGGTTTTTTTTCTTTTTTAGTAAACTCAGATTACATTTCTGAAATACATAAGGAACATGGTTGTGTTTATGTTTCAGGCATGCAGAGATACTCTATGGTTTATAATGCTCTTCTGCTATAAAATAATATATAATACAATGCATCCCTTGTTTCTGCATATTTCTGTGAGTTGTTATTTTTAAAGTAGTGAAATTTCAGGCCTTGGGCCACATTCTGAGAATTTATATTGAATTTCTGCAGTGCGTGTTAGGATAGGCATTTCCCTATTTCCTTCATCCCTGGTAAAGTTGCTCCGCAGAAAACAGCTCTGCATAGACATATTTGGAGCTTGCTTTAATTTCATCCTAGAAAAGGTCTTAAGTTTTGATGGATCAAAGTGGAAGTGTGCAATACCTTCTGGCACTGAATTTACTTTTTTATCAAAGGCTGATTTCCTCTGAAAAATCCCTCTCCTGCTTCCTGTGCCTGGATGTTCCCAGCAGACAAGCCTGTCCTCTGCAGTACTGCAGGGGGCATCTCGCGCTGTAAAAGACGAGCAGTAGATGATGTAGTAATTGGTTTCATTTTGCACTGTACAGCACAGCCTTTGTTTGGGCAGCATTTTGATTTAAACACTAATCTAGGTCTGCTGCACAAATAAATTATTCAAGACCGAGGGGCAGAATATGGTTCTGTAACAAGTCTGAGCCAGACCGTCCTGATAGCGAGTTTTGACCCTTGTGAGAAAGGGTTAAGTGGGTTCTGCTGACTCATTGAGGTAGGTGGCTTATTAGTTCACTTGTGTAAAAGGGAGATAAAAATGGTTTGCTGGGGAGAGGCCATCTAAGATGCTGGCTGAGCAGCCATAAGGGAGAAGCCTTAGAAGTAGCTGAACTTTATTTTCTTATTGCTTATATCCTTGTTAATAAAGCCAAACCCCCAAAGCAATAAGGGGGTGGGGATCATTTTGGACTCCATGCAGTATATGGCCAGTGCTTGAAAGCAAGATGGGAAAGGCTCCAGCTCACAGGTATAAATTACATGAAACAGTGACATAAAGACCTTGCATGGTGAAAATATTAAAGCATTCAGTCATAAGACCAATAACCAGGAGAGACAGAAATGGAGGGGTTGAAGGCAGGCTAGAAAGTCAGGTTTTAAGATGAGAATTTAGAAGGAGATAAGGAATTGCTGAAAGGGGAGAGGTCTGCACAGATTGTTTCAGGTGACCAGAGCTGCAGAGTGAATGGTTTTTCAGCAATGACACCAGTCTGACAGTAGATTAAAAGAGTAAATAAGTACCCAAATTTATCTAGGAAGGATTTTTCAGCAAAGATGTGCTGGGACTGATATATTTTTTTTCCCTCTCAGTTTGCTGCTGTAGGGAGGAGGGGTTTTTTGGCATTGTATAGTGGAAGGTGAAAGTGAAAGGAGCATCCATACGGTCAGTTAAGAATATAAACACAAGAACATAAGAAAGGCTATGTGGGGTCAGACCAAAGGTCCATCTGGCTCAATATCCTGTCTCTGATAGAGAACAACAGCGAATACCTAGGGAAGAATATATACAGTGATAAAAGTGTTATTTCCCCAGCATGATCTTCCAGCTTCTAATCATTAGCAACTCAAGGACTTCCTAAGCCAGGTGTGATATTTTTGTATTTAATAGCCCTTAATAGGTTTTCCTTCTATGGAAGTGCCTAGTAATTTTTGAGTTATAACCACTATAGCCTCGTACCCGCTAGCCTCTGTGTCCTCTTGTGTCCCACAAGTTACTGCACACAAAATGCTAAGCCATCTTCTTTCTGCCTCTTCTGAGCCCTCTGCCCACTAGCCTTCAATTCCAACACAGTATCTGTTTAGTATTTACATGTCCCACGAGATTCTACTCCCCCCCTGCAGTCGTTCTGTCCCATCCTTAATTCCCTGGTTTTTCACCTGAGTTACTTATTCCTTATATAAGGGCTGCCCCATGTCTCTTCATTGTCCTGGCCAATCTTCTCTGATCCCTTTCTAGTTCTGCTTTGTCATGTTTGAGATGAGGGACCAAATCCTCACACAGTATCCAGGGTGCAGGTGTGGCAGGGATTTATGCTTTTTTTTCTCTTTTCTATCCCTTCCCTATTGTCTGCTAACAGTCTGCATGTTTCTTTGGCTGTCGCTGAGCACCAGAGTGATGTTTTCATAGAACTATTTATTGTGTACACCAAATTTTGTTGGATGGCAATGGTCACCTCTGAGATCATCATTTTATATGTTAAGTTTTCTTATTTGTAATGTTTTACATTTATTAGCCTTGAATTTCATCTGCCATCTTCTCAGTCTCTCTGTTGCATTAAGTCCTTCTGCATTTTTCCACAGCCATCCTCCCATTTCTACTGCTCTGTTTCCTTAATGTCCTTTGAGCAAGGTAGAAACTCAGAGGACGTGGGAAGCAGAGAAGTTAAGGAGGGATAGATGAGAGAGAAACCCATTTGATGTTGATCCGCTTGAAGTAAGAAATAAGAAAGTGATGAAAGTCAGAGAGCTGGGAGATAAATGTTCAAAAAGAGATCTGAAGACAATAGGCAAATTGAGAAGGGAACCTACAGTGGTCAGAGACAGGAAGATACAAATGTAAGCCAAAGAGGCCAGTGCAAAATATTAATTTGTTTAGATGTATCAATGTCTGGGAAAAGGTTAGGGGCAACATCTGTGGGAAGAAAGGAGATATAAAGGAGTTAAAAGTCTGTGAGAAATGTGAAGGGGACTGGGAGAAATGGAAAGAGTGAGAGACATTGGTGGGACACCGATGATAAAATGACATCGGTGCTGGATTGGGAATTCAGTGTGGTACAAGGAAGTTTGAAGGAAACGGAAATGTGCCAGAAATATGTTATTCCTACTGTAAGAGCTGCATTTTGCATTGTAATACTGATAGCTGTGGGGCCATGGCCCATTTCCCCCATCTAGGAATTTCAGGACAATGTGATTTATTGTGTTCAGCACTAGCTTAGACTGGATAATTTTAAAAGGAGTTTAGCACCATTTCCTTCCTTTACAGCTCCTTGAGAAATGCTTACACATTAGCTGTGGTGGAGAGCTAGGTGAATTATGAGAGAAAAAGTTTTATTTGGGGAGGCTGTGTTGCATTGCCTGCCTCTCCTTAAAGGGTGTAGCTGGAATACATTCAATATAGACATTATAATGTGAAAACACAACATCCATGACCTTCCTAAATTTATAGACAATCCAACAAAGGTACTGAAAGCATGTGATTAATATAGTCTAGGGCTTGGAAACAGACACTGCATACTCATGTAATCCAGCAAAATCTCTTTGAGAGCTACCTACCTATTCTCTGGAATTTCACTTGTCATGTAGAAAAATGAAAGTGGGTCTGATCTCTGGCTGTTCTAATTGTGAAGACATCTTCCAGAATGGGAAGTGTGTGCAAAAAATAAACTGTTCTCTAGAGAGGTGAGAGCATAGGTCTAAATGGTGCGTGAATTGCCCCAGTCATTTCAGCAAGGTTCTAACTTATTTGCCCAGAAGTAATAATTTAAATGCCAATAATATTTTTCACCCTGTACTTCATGTAATAAATTGAAAAAGGTTCAAAGTGCATGTATTTAGCTTGTGTATTGCCAATACCAGCATAATCTGCTTGAATGAGCACCCTGTCATTGTGGTCGGTTTTGTTGTTTTCTGGTTTGTTTTTTTTTCCTTTTGCTTAGGCTGCCTTTTGTTCTTTGGTACATTTCAACATATTCAGGAGCTGATTTCTGTTGTTTCTAGCTATCCTCCTGTTACAACCACTCAGTAGCTTCTGAGCTTGGTGTTTTCATGTGACTGCTGTACCTCTGCCACAGGCTGCACACACACACAAAAACACAGAGATATAAAGAGAAAACATTATTTGTGACTTATAAAAGCAGGCAACAATATGAATTCAGTTCTTCCCAGGACTATCCAAGTGTGGTGATGTGAAAACTGTCTTAGAGAGCTGGAGAAGGGACATCCTGTTTGTGCTTTGAACCTTCCCCTCTGGATTGCATTTCATTTTTATTTGCATGTATCTTTAAAACAGACAATTTTAATCCTTAGACAAGAGCATAACTGCTTCCACATCTGATTCATATCTGCAGGTAGACTGGTTTGCTTTTAGTTAAGATCTGTGTGCCCAGGAGGACACAAATGTGTGTAATAGAAAACTAGCTTAATTGTTAGCTATGAAGAGAACATTGTCTCTACATAATCAATCAATCAATCAATCAATCAATCACTTATTTTTTTCCAGTGCACCCTTCATGCCAACATGCCTGAGTGCTTTATGGTCATTAAATTAAATCAAAGAACACACCACAGAATGGACAAGGCCAGATCAATAAATCTTAAAACCTGATTCAAAGTTACCAAGGACTCTGCACAAGTAACCATGACAGGAAGGATGACTCCAGTCAGGAGAGCATGTGTGTGGGCATAAAACTGAAACAAGACTTAGGTGATACTAATTAGAAGACAGAAACATTTAAAGGAACTGTAATTTTTATAGCATCACCCAGCTGCCCACAGCATCAACCTGCAGCTTCATGCTTTAAGGGTATTTTCAGATGTATGAGTGATATAAGAAAATAACATGGCAGCAAGAACTTTTTACAATTTTTACAGCTGTATGCTTCAGGGCACCTCTTGCCTAATTTTAAAGATTTGCCTATTTGTGATCTCTCCATTTGATTATTGAAGGGCACCATATTAAAGAAAGATGCAGTAAACACCAGCTGGCAATAACCACAGTATGACTGCTCTGTCTTCATGGAGCATCCCAGCAATTTCATCTTTGAAATGACTCCATGCTGAACTCAGATCCAGTCAGAAGTCATCCATTAGTTGGGCAGAACATTTCTCCCTCCTTGCTTGAGAGGAGAGCTTTATGAAACTGCAATACCTTTTATGAAACTGCCAATTAATGGGGAGCTTTGTACATTTTGCTCATAGAAATATCCCAGTAGCTGTCACAACCTATGGAGGTTCATTCCCAAAGCACATAAAATGACCACAGGCCTAACTATGTTCAAAACTAAAAGCAAACCCCAGTTCTTCAACTTAAACTTCCCTCCCTCAATAATGTCGAGGCATGTGCTCCTCAGTCTGTGAATTGGATCAAAAATATTGCCTAGAGGCACAGGGTCAGAGGAGATTCCACTTATGAAAAACAGGAGGCCCTCAAAAGGGTGCAACCTCAGTTGCTGAACAGACACCACAAATAGGATGGATAAAAGCCCACATGAGACTGGTATGTGAGCAAGCAGAAGCTGACAGTTGCCCCTCAGGAATAGAGTATAAAGCTTTCAGTTCTGCAGGAGATGTGATCTGAAAGTCTGCTTCCTGGAAGCAATCGCACCTGAACTGTTGCATGGTGCTGCAGTTGCATAATTTAATAGTTGTCATGTTTCATTCCAAGGTGAGTGTTCTTGGTGGTAGTGTACATAAAAAATTTGTATGTCATTAGGGATAAAAGGGTCTATGGCAGACAAGGTCAGATATTATCCTCATGAGTGGTAGAAGAGGTCCATATTAAAACAAAGAGGGTGTTTGATTTCTTTTTGAACGTGGGCAGATGATTCAGACCCACGTGCCCTTCATATGCTCTGTCTCTCCCCTTCCTATCTCCTTTCTTTTGAAACAGATTTAAGTCCATCTACTTTTATATTTTCAAACAAAACCCATAAAAGGGCCATAAATATCATGACTCGCTAAAATGAAAGCTGTTTTCTTCTTCTCCCAGGAGACTCCTGCCTGAGAGAGAGACAGAAAGAGTTCACCTCTTTGAAAATTTCCTCCTCTGTCGAAGTAAAGCTGGTATCTAAAAGCAGCCTTCAAGGCTTTGTTCTTATCATCTTGACCTGGCTTTGTACTGGCTTCTCTCTGTATTGCTTGTGGAAGTGTGAAGGACGGGGCTAGGGGAAGGAGTTTTGGCTATCACTGGCAGAGCAAGGGTCATGCTTGGAAAGGGATTTCATTGTGGTTTCAGAAAACATTATAAAACTGAGTGCAGTGGCAGAAAGAATGAAGAAACTCATTCCCCTCCTGGATCAGACCAGTGATCCACCCTTTGTGTCTCTGATGTTGGCCAGAACCAGATTCACCTCAGAAGATATAAAGAAAGTTTAAGTGGGTAATTATGGAATAACCTGCCCTGAGTAAAATTTTCTCCCCTTCTGGCCCAAAGCCCTCCTTCATCTCTCCTCCTTGGTTAGAGTTCAACTCTATGCCCTGAAGCATGACGGCTTCTCTCCCTTCCAAACCGCTTTTCATCCTGGCCTGTCTCATGTAACTGCCTATGACAGTGATGGGATGTATAGGTCTTGTCCACTGAGAGTCTGTGACAGATCATAGCCTTATTGGAAAGAGAGGCAGAGAGGCTGAAGAGAAGGCGAGGGAGGAGAGCATAAACTCAGATGAAATATCCATCAGGAAGATGGAAAGAAGAGTGAGTGCCCAGGAAACTAATTGCTGCCTGCTGATCTGGGCTGTGGAGATAGCTTGCAAGTGAGCATTTTTAGTTTTCAGAGATTTCAGCCTGGAGCACACTAGGAATGTCAACTCTTGGTTGAAATTACTAATCATTAATATTTCCCTTTTTATACATATATTTTTAAATTTTTTAAAGCTGTAGAAGTGTGAAGTAGTCCTAAGAAAACAATTCCATTATAATCTAAGGGTGCTTTTTCTTCCACTGCAGTTCACTACTCATTTCTGAAAAGGTATTGGCATAATTTGGGGCTCTTAGACACCGAACATGGATGAAAATCAGGCTATTTTTCTACTGCCCAAAAACTATTTAGGAATCCAAAGTTAGATATTCCTGCCTAGGTCCTTATCCCTATCACAGAGAGATGGCTGCTCATAATCCTGAGTAGAGCAAAGCCCAGCTTCCGTGGATTTGTTTGGCCATCGCATAGGGCATCAAAATTTATGTGACATAATGCCAGATGCCCCAAGGTAACGATTAGAATTGTTTAGCACATGAAGGCTCTTGACTTTTTAGATATTATCAACATTATCGCAGGTGATAGCACTATACCACAAAAAGTATTAACAAACTTTCAAGGATTGCTTAAATGTATTTTCCAGATGGACACTTTCCAATTGTATGCGGGTTGAATGACAGCTTTCACTTATTTGTCAACAATTCCTAGGGAGAGGGAAAGAAGAGCTAGGTTTTGGATCGTATCCAAGTCTCAGTAATGATTAATTTCACTCCCATAGTATCCATTGTTTCCCATATTCCTTTCCCTCAAAAGTGTGGCGAAGGGATCTGGAGTTTTCCAAGTGATGGGTGTTGAAATCACACCCAGTCTCCTGGATACCACGCTGAGGTATTCAAAGCATCCTGCTGGTGTTGGCTGAGCACAGGAGATTGTTCATTAAGAAAAATGACTGTATCATTCATACTGGGCACAGCTGCAGTGAGCAGCTCAGTGGCAGTGTTCAAGGCTCTGTAATCTCCTGTTAGTTGCCACTTGCCATTAGATTTTTTTACTGGCCATAAAGGAGAATTGTAGGGGAAATGAGACGTGACGATAATTCCCTGTTCTTCCAGCTCCTTTATCAATTCAGTAACAGGACAAATAGCAGCAGAAGGTAATGTGTATTGTGGAATATTAACTGCCTTACTATGGGGCAAAGGAGCAGCTGTTTGCAACAGATTAGCAGTTAGAAATGCATCTGTAGGAGATAAACTTGGGGACAGAAAGGGCGATGTCCCTCTTTCCCATTTTCCCCACAACTGACCCTTCAGTACATCCTTGCCCAGTATATTAAGGGCACCCAAAAGTGAGGTCAGGTGGATTGTCTGTCCCTTAGACAGAATCAGCTTTGCCCTGACCAGAGGGTGGTTGGTGGGTTTCCCATTATGGCCTGCCATAGAAACTTGACTGCTTGCAAAGCAGAGGCTGCCCTTTGTAAGTGTCCTTACGTACCATGGATATCCAGATTCCTGTGTCAGTGAGGAATGTTTTATGGTAGGGAGGGATGATTAATTTGGGAGCATCATCTTGGGACTGAGATCCTCAGCAGTGGGAGTAGCACCACCTTAGTTTCCTAAATATCCAGTCTAGGTTTAGTGCTGGTAGGTTTGGATATATCCCTGAGCTTACAGCACTTGCATGCTCTATCCCTTTGAACCATATGGTGTCACCCCATCTCCAAACACAGATCCCAGAGGGTTATGAGAAGTAAATGAGGAAAACTTGTCTATTGCCACAAAAGGAAAGTTGGCATTTCAGAGACAGCTCTTTCCCTAAACATATTTTCCATCATCTTTTACACTCAGGAGTAACTGACCAGGTTTCTCAATTTCTGCTTTTGTCTTTCACACGGAGGCAGGCTCGGCTCTTTTACATTTTCTCTGGCTGAGGATCTCTCTTGGTTTTTACCCTCTGGGATGTATAGTGGTATATCTGCCAGCCTACACTGAAGGACATCTTGGAGAGTAATACCGTTTAAACTCGTCTTAATGGCCAGTGCTAAAGATTTCCACACGCCCCCAGCTTCCATTAGACACACATCAGAAGTGTGCAGGCTCCCAAATCACCTCCCAAGGATGCAGTTCTGCTGGGAGGGGTTGTCAGGCTCCTGGAGCAAGGGGTGCTTTTCCTTCTAATTCAGCTAAAATCACTGTTTTCACCATGGCTACATAAAGGTCCTTTGGCTCTTCCTGGCCACCTGTCCTGTCTACCTGGCTCTGCTTCAATCCAATGCTGCTGCTTGCAGCACACATCAGGCCTTAGCATGAGCTGGGCTGGCCAAACCAGGAGCCTGAGTCCCAGAAAGGCCAGGGTCTTAAGCAAACAAACAAAACCAAACAAAAGGGCTTGGTTTTTTATATTATTATTATTATTAATCAGGAAATGTAGTGATAGAAAGTGGGGTAACCATTTTAAACTGAAAAAGTGTAGCTTTATATTAAATAATGGGGTAGATTTATATTAAATATTGGGAAGAAATTCCTTACTGTGAGGGTGGTGAGGCCCTGGCACAGGTTGCCCAGGGAAGTTGTGGATGCCCCGCATCTGGAAGTGTTCAAGGCCAGGTTGGATGGGGCTCTGAGCAACCTGGTCTGATGGAAAGGGGGGTGGGAACTGGATGGCCTTTATGGTCACATCCAACCCAAAACATTATATGGTTCTATGACTGTTTTTTCTATTCCACTTACAAAGTGCCACTTTGTAAGGGTGATAAGAATATTAATTCACTGAACTGACCTTATACATGTGTCCACAGCTTGGTCCGATGATGCTTACACACTGTAAGATAATCCCTTTTTTCTGTGGCAAATCTCTCTTGTGTCGACAATTAAGTACCCTTTATAATTCCATTTTTTGCTATGATTACAGCAACATAGCTATTACAAATGTATAGAAAATGTAAATAACTTACCTAATATTTTTCCTAGCCACCTTTCTCCTTGCCTCTCCTTCAGTTATGAATGCCTTGGAGAAGAGATCATTCTTGCTTAGTGCCTGAAAATGCCTGAGCTTCTAGAGGGAGCTACAGTAAATAAAAAAAAATTATGCTGGATTCTATTTTCACTAAAAGAAAAAAAGAAAGGCATGTTATAACCCTGATTTGGTGTGATTATACTGTAAATAGGCCATAAACAGTCAAAGGGAAAATAACCTACAATATTCACACCTTTGAGAGACTGTGAGGTGGTAATCACTATTCTTCCCTGCTGTTCAAAATATTTTCCAAGTGTCCTCGAAACTGCATTGGCAGCAGAATGTGGCCCAATTCAAGGGCTTTAATGCTACTGCTAAGTAGAAATTATTTTTGTCCTCGAAATTTTCAGTGGAATAGTCTGTATTTTGCAAAAGAAAAAGCATAGTTATTCACTGCAAAAGCACTAAGAAAAAAGGCAGAGACCATCAGAAATCTTTCTGACAAGACAATTCCATGTTTTTAAAAAAAATATTTGTGCAATTAAGGAAAAAGTACAAATGTTGAATTTCAAAAATAGGCATGTTCCATATGAAGATGACAGAGAATTTCAGTGTTGCTTGCTGAAGTTAATAGGGAGCATAATGTCCACTTTGTACATGGGGAAACAGGAGCAGAGATTTGCCTTCAGCTCATTTTTTCTCTTTTCCCCAAGAACTGTTGCACTTTCCATGCCACACACAGAACGGGCATTTTAAATGGGTGGTGTAGCTTACCTTTAAGACCACAACCCTTCTTTACAAGCAGCATGGCTACCTCTGCCTGTCACAATGCCACAGAAGAGCTCTGCCAGAGAATCGTTCCAAAACCTTGCAGGGAGATGCTGTGCTTTTCCTGCCCTTTGTGGTGAGAACGTTTTTCATCTTACATCCGTGCCCATACTAAACACTTTAAAATCTTTCACCATTATGACCTGTTATTTCTCAGCATCTTTTTGGGCTGATAGATAGCTAACGATATAGATATTTACTGTCACTACATTAATATCCAGAGGTCTTAACTAGCACCAGGACCCACTGCAGCACAATTCTAGTTGTTCTCACCCTAAAAGACTTGCAAGTTAAATGAATGAAACAGACACAGGCTGGGAGAAAGAGATTGCATCTGTAAGTGTGTTTGAGACCCAGAAACTGAGCCCAGTGTTGTACATGGATACTGCAGCAGCAGAAGTCTGCAGGAAATTTCAAACGATAGGGCTAAATTCATCTTGCTAACAAACATTCTCCATCAGCAATCACTCACCTCTCTGTGGTGCAATTAAACACTCACTGGCCTCCAGAGAGCACAAGCACAACTTTCTAAACTGGTGATTAAGGCCTTTGTCTGTGAGGAGCAGACATATGTTTCAGGCCTTTTTCCACAGAGTGTGTGATGTGAAAGAGTATAGCATTTATCAGTGCAGGCTCTTCCCCTCCCAAGTCATGGCTCCTGGCTGCTACCTTGCAAAGCAGCAGTGCTGTGCATTTTTGGCCTAAAGAATACTTAAATAACCATTTCAAAAGGAAATAGTTGATATGAGACTCTTTAACAGAATAATCAACAGCACAGGGAAAGAGCCTGGCACTTCCTTGGATGCATTCAGATTTTCTGAGTGAGTTAAAATGCTGTCTTCTGAGATGGCCTGAACACTGAGCTACTGAGTTGAAAAGGGCCCCCCTCTGCCTTTTGTCACCTGCTGCTTATGGGCTGTGTCTTGTCTGTGGATAAGGTTGGTGTTAGAACTGAGGTAACTTCAGGTCTGTGAGCACAGGCTGGGGAGAAATTCCTCATTGCAGTTTCATGTTTATCCATCATAACCCAGGGTAATTGCAGACTGTCCCTAAAATATGCTGCTCTGAATTTTGCAGTGCTTCAATAATCTTTTGGATCTGGGTCACACTGATGGTACAGGTGGTTTCAAATATAAATACAGGCCATCACATGGATGGGACATACACCCCTGGCAAAACCGGGAGCTTTACCTGTGTTTTTCTGTTTGAGAAGTGATTCAGAAACAATCACATTGGTTCTGGCTCTGTGTGGCAGATTGCACTTGAGCATGCAGCAGCCTCCTAGCCAGCAGAAAGCTGGGCTAAATCACCCACTGGAAGTACAAGCCTGCTTTAGCATTTAACACTTCCTTAGCATTTAACAGTGAAACTCAGCAAAACGTCAGCTTTTATTTTTGCGTTGTCCTAGGCTCAAAGGCTCCCAAGGCTCAAAAGATTGCAAATGCCTCTGGAGTATCAAAGCTTCAAATCCAATGTAGCCTGGCTATTATTCCCTTCAGCATGGGCAGTTACAGAGATGGGATGAATGCTCCCCAGCTAGATAATTTAAAACCTGTGTTTAGCATTAATTCTGTCAGTTTGGAAAGCAGCAGCTTATAACACAGGGTGATGCAGTGCCCTGGGCTTCTGCTGGACTTGTACATGGTAATGGAATGGGAGGGGTTGAGGTGAGATTAGTGAATGGGCAGAAGAACCCGCTCTGAGGGAAAGGTCTTGCCAAGATTCATGCAGGCAGTGGCATCAGAAAGGTGCTGCATGTGGCACGTTACAATGGACACACTGAAAGTCTTCCTATTCCCTTATTCTACCATATGGACTGAGTTACTGTGAAAATCATGTTCCCTGCACAAAGGGGCAGAATAAAATACTGTTTGGCTTAAACCTATTCCTGCTTGTGAATGTAAATTAAATCTGTTCTCCTTCAAATTTCTTTTGTTCTGCTGCTTTTATCTTTGTGGAAATTTTCTTTGGTGACTCCTCTGTTGTTGTCAGCCTCGCCCTTACAGGTGAAAATCATGAACCTTTCTGAAGTTACAAGCTCTAGGAACATGTCCTAGAGGCAACATGGAGTTACAGAACCCCAGCCAGAGTGCACTATTACATTGGCTTTTCCTGCCCTCCTCTGTGCAATTATTTCAGAGAAAGTTCTGTAGGACAGAGAAACTATATTCATAACATCCACTATTTAAGCCTCTCACTTGGATTCTTTCCTTGACATACTGTCAAAGTTGACAGCACTATGCCAGTTTATTGCACCAGAAGACCTGGCTTTTCCTTTCCTCCCATCTGCAGAGCTTGGCTGCTCCCATTATATGAACCCTTTCTCACTCCTGCCCCTAATAAAATCTCCATGCTTCACATGCTCCCTCAGCCTCCCTTTGATTCGTGCTCCCAGAGTCTTCCTCGCTGCTGACGTCGGGAGCCTGCACAGCTCTGTAATTTCCCGACAGCCCTTTTCAAACACTGCCTTTTAATCAGGTGCTGTGTTTTACCAGCACTTCCTTCTCTCACTGAACGCCTTTGAAGCGAGGCTGCCAGCGCTGGTGGGGTTCCTTCTCCACTGCCCTTTTTTGTTGTTTCCACACAGAATTCTAGGACAGAATTTTGTCGCTTTTTAGATGCTCTGCTTTTTTTAATTTTTTTTTCTGTGTTGTGATCCTAATTTCCTGCAGGATTTCTTCTTCCTCTCCTGGGAAATTTGTCTCTATTTCTGGCATCTGTCCTTCCTAACCCTTCCCACGTTTCTTCCCTTCTAAAGACAGGGGAAAAGAATCCATTTAATATTTTTCTGTAGTAACGTCTATCTCATCTGTCAATAAATTACCCTTTGCCATCTCTGGGAGACCCCTTTGTCTCCCTTCACTGACCTTATTCTGTACCTTGCCTTTTTTTTTTTAAGGGAGGATGCAATATCCCTGGGCTGTCATTCCATGAAGAACAGCTGTCATTCCTCCCATAGTGTATGCGAATGTGTTTGAGGAGGGAGGGGAAAGGGAGGGGGGAATTAGGGGAGGATGGGGTTCTGCTGTTGGGAAATATGACGGTCCTATTCAGAGTGGTAAATATTTTTTCATTCATGATATTCCACTGCAATTCTGTCTTTTTCTTCAGTGGTTTTAGACATTCATTTTCTTATTAATCTAACACTCATCTATCTAGACATATAACTACAAGAATATTTATTAAAGATCTTTTTAAAACTATGTATGCATTTTATAAATGTCTAATTTCTGCACAGTCTCTGCAACTGTGAATGCTATCTCACCGTCAGAGCTGCTGTCTAATGCTACAGAGGTGGATTCAGAAAGCATTTTCTGTGCCTTAAAAACATGAGTTTGCCATATATTTTCAGTGCTACAAACTGAAATGCTCACTGAGAGGGTTAAAGAACATGGTACAGTCCTGCATGTAACTAGCTAGCTGTACAGACCTGCAGAAGGAAGAGACAGATTCATGAATCCAGCAATTCCTGCCCTGTTCTTATTCTTCCTTGTGTTTTTGAAGCACTGCAGACTCCCAGATAACTCATCACAGAGCATTCCCTGCGTTTCTCGTGGTCCAAGGGCTTTGTGTGTAGCACAGGAACAAGCTCCTTTCTGCCTGCTCGTGCTCCCACACACAATCTAACCACAAATTAGTGCAGTTTGAAAAAGCAAATATTAGTTTTGGTCAAATTCTACCAATGTATTTTAAGAAACAAAGGAAGTAAATGCACCAAAGATGCTCTCACCTCTGTACCTTCTGGCTATTACACTACTTAATGCATTTCTTTTCACAATATGGGCGTGAAATAAGGAAATGCAGTTGTTATCTATGGTGTGCATAGAAACACCAAAGCGACCTCAAGGCACAAGACACAGCACGTGCAGGGACCCTTATTCTCTGAGTACCTGCATCAAAAACCTGGTGAAACACACTGTGAGTCTTGTTTGATCCAGCGTTGGGGTTTCCTTTGTTTGGAAACCAGCAAGAGGCACCATGTTTGTGTCACAGGCCAGGTCCAGGCATGGCCTCTGGACCAGTGAGCTCAGGGATGTTCCAAAGGCCCAGATTAGCAACACTAGAGGGAGACTGAAGAATTTAAGTCAAAAAGAATGTCTAGGTACAACATACATGCCAAGCTCCTCACTTCCTTGTCCTGTGCTAGCAGGACATCAGCAGAACATCTTTTCTCTTAAAAGCACTATAGTAGTTGTTTTACAACTGTTTTGTGATTGATGTCCACTCTGGCCCTTTCTCTCTCATCTGATGACTCTGGCAGTCCCTGCTTAATTTAGCCATCCCAGCTGAAAAGGTAACCCATCTCCACAACTAGAAGTAATAAATTCTTTAGCGACCACAGCAAAATACATTGATATCATCTTGAATGAAATCACTCATGTCTGCAGTCCTCAGTCGAGGATATCACAGTAAATTGGTATCAGCTGAAATAAAATTTACATTAGTAAATGTATCAGGTTATGAGCTGACCAGTTTGCACTGGCCACACCACTCGTTCAGCCACCTCTTCTTTGGGATAACTCCTTCCATCACCTTAGTAATGCAGCCAGCTGAACAGTGATATCAAACTTCTCCAGGGGGAATCACTGGGGCTTGGGAACCAGAGCCATTACTTCCCTGTAAAAAATCTGTGCCTTCAAGGACTAAGGCTCTGTCTGCATATGGAAATCAAGTTTTCAAATGTATTCAAATGTTGGTAATACCAACCCTGCTCCAGCACCAGGAAGAAGGTGTGGAGTCTGCTGAAGAATGGCTCTTGGCTACTGCCATCTTCAGGACTATCCCACGTTAATTATTCAGGTCTCTTGTAAAAAGACACCTGTGGTAACTGGCAGAGTATCTGCACAAACATTAGCAGCCTTGAGGCTGAGAAACTGTTAAATAGCCTTAGTAATAGAATATTAAAACCTTGATGATGAGCAAGCTAGCGTGGGTGGAATAATTGTCTGCTCAGAAAGAGGTGCCTTTTTCTCATTCTATTCCTGTTGTTGAATCCTTATCTCCTGGATAAATAAAAACAAACTCCCCAGTTATTGTTCTCGTTCACCTTTTGACTCTTGATTAGATTTACTGCAGATACATCCCTTTGGCAATGAAAATGGAATCAACACATTTCTGATGCACTCCAGTGGAATTCTCAGCCCCTTCTCCACCCTCAGACCACCAAGGTCCTCGTTTTCTGAATGGCAGTTAATTACCTGTCCTTCTAGCACATGCATGAGATACAGCTGTCAGAGAGACCACTTGCCCTGAGTAACAGACTGCTCTGTTTCACTTTGAATCTTTATCTTATTTTTAATCCTCAGCACTTGGAGCCAAACCTGATACCTTTCTGAAGAAAGAAGCTCATGGTGATGCAAGCTGCCTTGCTGGGCTGCTTCCCCTTTCTATATTTTTTAGTGTTTTCCCAGATGAGGCCCCAGGATTATTGCAAACGAGTCCCAGGAAGAAATGCTGCTCAATTAGGCGAAAAGAAACTCGAAGGAAAAAAGGAGTAGAGCCAGCAAATTGCTTGAGATAACAATCTCCCCCCACCCGTGTGTCTCTGTAACTAAGAGGATTAGCTGAACTTTCTGTGTCACACCAAAACTGACAATAAGCAACAGTGACTTCCCCCCGCTGGCACTTGTACCTTCACATGTTTCATTTTCTTGCCCACACTACTGCCTTGCCCCTTGCTGATTGTATGACAAACTTGGGGATGAACATGATGGCTCTTTCCTTTCCTTTAAGATTTATGACTCAAAGCCAAATAAAACCCAACTCAAGTTATTACATGCTCTGTTTCCTCCTAACAACAACTCACTTTTAACAGTGTAAGCTAAGCAAGGAAACATGGAAATATGGTCTCCTTGATCTCACCTGATCCATCTGCTGCTGGAGATGCAAACAGCAGCCTCGGGTCTGCCAACACGGGAGCAGGCATAAAGACGCCCCTTGGGAGCAGGACCAAACGTCTGGAATATATAAAGAAGAAGTCCCATCAAAATTCAAAGTAACTGGGGTACTGTGTAGATACAGCACTGCCAGCAAGGAGCTGGATGTTTATTTCAAGTTAAGATTTATCATTCTTTGGTAGGAGGACTACCTAGGGTAGTCTTGCAGTGAAAAGAAATAAACTTTGTTAAAGGACTCTCACCAGTTACGGAATCAGCCCCATGTTCCTCTGACAGTGGTGTACACCTGATGAAAAGAATATGGCTTGTGGCTGAAGATGATCAAACATCAAATTATTCCAGTTTCTAAAGTAAACTAATTCCTTTTGCTGACCTGTGTAGAACATCACTCCAAACCTGGTGAACAACTCCTTTCCCTGAGCCTGCCAGAGAATGTGTACAGAGAGACGAAGTTCTATGAGACAAGGCAAAGCAGGAGCACTCTCCCAACCCACACGTGCTCCTTGCCTTCTCTTCCCTGAGTTTCCACAAAGACCACAGCAGAAGGTGGTGAAAAATATGAAAGATGAATGCTTCTGATACCTGAAGGGCTACACACAGGCACACTGACTAACTAAGCACCGGTGCCACAGTGAAGAAGGAAGTTGAAAGCAAGAAGGAGGCAGGAGAATTAGAAATTATTTCACACTGATGTAAAGCAGATACCAACACACAAGAAGGGAATGTTGGGATAAAACGAGTTGGGATGTGGGACTCGGGTGATCACCACCAGTGTAAGGATTGAGGGGAAATGATGACACAGCAAAAACTGCAGCAAGTATTAGGGTTGGGTCATAAAATGCATGGGACCTTGCCAGTTCTTGTAAAGCATTTTACTGAACTAGGCATCTGTGCTGTGTGCCCTCTCATTGCTACACAACTCCCTGGACCTAAATTAAATCACTATGGCACTTCTGCCATGTTAAACGGTCCAAGCAGGTACTCTCAGGCCACATAAATTCAGTGAAGTAGTGTTTTGGGTGTCCCTGT